ATGGAGACCAGTCTGACATCCACCTTAAGACTTTCCTGAAGTCTGTAGTAGTGATGGTATGGCAATGAAGTAAATTGGATCAGCTTCCAAGCATAATTTTTAAAAGAGCCTCAACACCAGGGAGAGGTGAAAATACATTGCTGGGTCAATAGCAAGTCAGCCAGTCATAAAACTGTGGCTTAAGTGCTAAATAGATTAACCTGAGAGCTACTCTTTGGAGAGTTCAAGAGGCCAATTTTTGCTCTCAATTATGCTGAAGTCAAGGAAGTAAGTCTATTGTCACTTCAAGAAGTATTTCACCTCAGTTTTCCTCTGCAGCTGCATGCAGCTGTGACAGACCAAACTGCATCAGCAAGACATTCCCAAAACACCATCCCTCCCAGACACACACACACACTCTGCCCAGCCCCAGGATAAATTCTTCCAGTGTCAGTTACAACATCAAAATGACAACACCGATGGTTTTGTTCAAGAGACCATCTTTTACTGCCCAGGAAAAGGCACAGAGCAGCAGGTAGCCTTTGTTTTTTCCCTTGTTGAAAGAGGTCAATCCCTTGCACTTGAATTGTGCGACCCATTTCTGTGATGGCCCCGATGCTCCAGCACGGTATGTACCCTGTGACTGGGAAGGCAAAGCATTTGTCCAGCTCCTTCAAGGCTGCCATTGGGACTGTCTCGTAAATCATCTGGCTGGAATAACTCAGGTAGGGCTTAGTCCAAAGCCCATTGAAATCAATGGAAAGCTTCCCACTGACTTCAGCCAGCTCTGGACCAGGATCTCAGGGCTTTACACAACTGCCGTTCTGGGCACAGGACTCCCTCTGCCTCGAGGAGCAGGACAAAGCCTTGGATTTACTGCAGAAGAGTGAGAGAAACAGCACATCCATTCACCCAAATGGCTCATAGGGTCCTACTTTCCTTGACCTTGCACCTGACCTGTACAAACCACACGTAAAATGCTAGCAGATGGGCACAGTTAACGCTGCCATACTTTGTCCAGGGTTTGTCAGCCTATGCCTGGAAAGCCTTACTCCTCCATGAGGTACAAGAGCTGCTGGGTCCCTGCCAGCCTGAGTGTGTGCAATAAATCTGACAGCCTGGGAGAAAGTTGGACAAAGCCCCATATGCCTGCTCTTGGCCACATGCCCCCTAGACAAGTCTGCACTGCCACTCCAAACACGCTGATAGGCCTCCAGAGAGCCCAGACAAACACAAAGAGTCAAAAAGGTCTGGCTGGATAAAATTCCTGAGTGGGTGCAGCAAGCCCATATGGGGAATCCAGGACATGTGGGATACCTTGAAATGATAAGATCTTAAAATGCCGGAAAAACACTAGTTTTCTGTGCTGGTGGCAATCTATATCTATCTGAGTTGTTGCAGCATGAACTACTAGCCAAAGCACATGCCAGGGTTGAACAGTACTGTTGGTCTTTTAAAGACAAAGCCAGCCCCTCCTCAAGATCAATCTTAAACATATCAATCCAGAATGCCAGGGCTATGCAGCACAATAAATTATCATTTTCAGCAGCTTTCTAACAGGAAAAAAACCAAAACACACCCCACACACAAAACAAAACACCCCACCACGCAAAAAGAAAAAAACAAAACAAACAAAAAAAAACCCACCCAAAAAACCAAAAACAAAGTACAAAGCCTAACATCAGCCCCTCAAGGATCAGACTTGCTAAGCATCTCCAAAGATTAGACATAGGTGGCTGGACATCGGTGGCTCCAGCATGACAGACACTTGGGAATCTGACAGCACATGTATCCTGACCAACCCTCACACAGCCTCTGGCCCCTGGGGAAGACACAATAAGGTCAAGTCTCTCCCTCTCAGGCATGTGGTGCATGAGTCCATGCTGTTACAGGGCATCTTCACCCCTTGATCTCCCTTGGGCACAGGCCTCGGGCTGGGAAGACAGACTTTTCGTGTGCCTTTATCCCAGGAAACGGCAAAATGCGTCACTGCAGCTGGCTGAGTTACAAATACTGCTGTTTGATACGGCTGCTTGCAATTCTGAGTTTACTGTTCAGCTCAGAAACCTAAACAGTATCTGCGCGACCCAGCAAACATGTTACAGCCCACACGTAATCATCCGTCTGTCCATCTCCCAGCAGAAATGCTTACAGGCAGCAGCAGTTCCCCCATAGCAAGGCTCCAGCCCACCGATGGAAGGATGCAGGGAAATGCCCTGTGCCTAAGCAGCAGGTACCAGCACTCGGAGCTGATGGAGCAGTCTCAGCCTCCGTGCCACTCTCTAGGACCGCACGATTCACTAGATAAAACACCTGCAAGCATTCAGACAGGGGGAGGTCTGGCAAGCAGATTACTATGGCTTAAGATATGTACACAAAAAAAATGTTGTAGTCGTATTTTTAAGGTAAAGGTGATCCCACAATGCCTAAAAGAACACAAATTCACCAAAAAGAATCCAGCCTGACATTCATTTGTTAATAACTGCCTAAACACTGCTGCCCTCAGCTTGACACGAGTGGCGCAATGCAAATGGGATGGACGCTCAGCTCCTCCCTGCTGTTACCCCTCTTGGGGCAAGTTTCGGGAGGTCCCAGCTCCCAGAGTCACATTTGGGCTTGAGAATCAGGCTCTGTGATTGTTAAGGCAAACCAAAAATAAAAAGGCCAGACTAAATTATTTTTAAGATCTCAAGATTTTTAAAGCAGTCTTGTGACTTTTAAGGGGTCTGACTCATGATACTTGAATGCTTGAAGTTGGCAGCAGCAGAGGGAGTACAGCAAGATTTAGCGTACAGCAATTTATTGCTAAAAGCCTTCAAAATGTGTGGGAAAGGGCACAGAGCGCTTCTGCAGCAATTCCGCAGAAAACAGGGACACAGGCCCAAGCCCTCCTCCTCTGCCCAGGCCGCCACCAAGCTCGCCTCCTCCACAAAGGTTACCACGCAAAATCCCAGCAAAGCCACCCCAGATGTGGCAAAAACACTTCCCAAAAAGCAGACGTGGGTGGTAAGTAGGCTGTTTCCCGTGTCAGTGGCCAGCACTCTCTGGCCCAGCTGCTTGGTGTCCCCATCACGCAGGGACAGGCACTGCCATCAGCCTGCAGTGCTTCCCGGGAATGGCTCCTTCGAGGGACACCAGTTGGCTGCCGGTGGCAGCTTTGGCCTCCCCATGGATCCGGTTTCCCAGTGCGTGATCAGGGACCAGAGTTCGGCCCATGTGTAGAACTGCAGGCTGCAGAGTGACCTGTGGATACTCCTGAAGTCCTGCATTTCAGCTTCCATGGCAGTGAGGGCAGAGGCCCTTATCCCCAACACCCTGAGGCTGCCACTGCCTTTGCAAGCTGGCTATGCCACACTGCTGATGCCCAGACCACCTCCCACAGCCTCTGCACCCTCATGTAAGGTCTTGAACGCCTTCACAGGGAACTTCAAGTGACATTTTTCCATAGCAGAAAGCACTTCCCAAACTACACCCTCCAGCATCCTCCGCAGGCCAACCAGGTCCCCTGTTAGCAACAAACCCTGAAGTCTCAGTCTTTCCTTAAAAAATATTCTTAAAGTAGAAATACACTAAAAGTATAAAAATACCATGTGCTGCACTGGCATGGGCTCTGCAGTCCCTCCACACCGTCCAATAAAAACATACTGCCCAATGCCTGGAGGGAAACCTGGGACAAGAAGGCAGCTTAGTGCTGCAGCCCGTTTGCTCCTCTCTGCCTTTTGGGGAGTCACCAGCCAGGTGACGGCTGTGTTTTGCAAAGGGAGGCTAACACCTCATTTCCCTTTGGCCATCACACTTCATGTGAGTTTATTTATCTGCAGACAACACTGCTGCTGCTTTCCAGAGCTCACAGTCCAGCTTACAGCCTGACAAGAGCGCACGTACCCAGTTCTGCATGGCTACGCTTCCTTCATAAAGAAAGGCGGCCATTGCATCTCATCTGCCTGGGATTCCACCCCTCCAAATATCATCAATATCCATCAAAAAGCCCTGCTACATAAGCCGGGCTTTATTAGAAAGGCCAAGCAGGCATATAAGATACATTTGGCATTACATTCCATTTAAAACTGCTCAGAAACTGTTTTCTTCTTCAGCATTCAGAACTAAAAACACCATGGTATTGTCAGCCCATGGGAAAGACCAGAAACAAAAATGAAGTCCATGCTAAAAATTAAATAGAAAAATAAGAAAAAAATAGGCTTAAACCTAAGTTCCATTTTTTTTTTTTTAATTGCTACAGCAGTAATAAACTAAATCAGATCTTTATTTCAAAGACAACATTACAAAAATAAACGGGGCCTGACTTTCTCCCTGCTTACTCCCACATAAATCATGTGAAATTCCATGAAAGTAAAAGGAACTGTACAGGTGTAAAATGGAATTAATTAATGAAATGTCATTCCCAGTATTTCCATGATCCTTCTTTCATAAACTGACATCATCATACCCATGTCAAGTTCCGTTCTTATTTGCACCAAAGTAAATCTGTAATAACTGACAGCAAATGCTGCCCTTGTTGCCCACATAAAGGGGTTGTAGAGTGACAGGCACTACAAATACAATAGCAATAGCACAGTAGTGGCAGACAATGCACATTTATGCTATGCTACATATACCAAGGGTATCTCAGCTATCAATTGCTGTCTTGTAATTTTAGTTTTGTGTCTGAAAAGACAATACAATCCCCTCTGTACAGCACTCTCTCAAATGGCATCTGAGCAGGAGTTTGCCTACCAATAATTTCATGGGGACAGAGTTTACCTTACTGTTTACATTCATCCTAGAAGCCACGGCATTTATAACAGCCTAGAGGGAACTACGCACTAGACACCCCTAACATCCAGATTCTTGCACAATAATTGAAGTTAATACCTATTAACTGAAGCTATTTTACAGCACATATCGATAGCAAGGACTCTTTGGTTAGCTATAGCATACTTTGGAATTTAAGTCAGAAAGCCTCAAAGCCGCTGCTAATCAAAGGCAAGCCACCAGCACCATTTCCATACGTAATACCTCACCTCTCGGCTTCAAGGCGCATTTCCTCACGTTTTTGCCTCCTGAGCTCTCTGCGGCGTTCAAAGTCATCCATGGTGGGCGTTCAAGGGTTCAGAGCTCTGCAAAGATCCAAATCTAAAAAGGGAGATGACCACTTAGATAACAGAGAAAACACAATGGATGCCTTTAACTAACTGAGTCCATTTAGTTTTGTTTTGCTTTCTTAACTTCGCTGTAACTATTTTCTTTTCCCATCAAAAAATTTAACTTCCTCAGTATTCTTGAGATAAACAAGATTAATGAAATGCCTTGTAGGATAAACATAGCCCATGCCTGCATTTAGTTTCCTAGTTAAAATTAAATCAACATGCTTTAAGTAAGGACTGTATGTATCTGCTAGCCACAGACCAGCTATTTGTAACGTCACAGGTCTTTTCTACAAA